AGCACACAGTCCACCTGATGGTAAGTGGATGCACTGACCCATATACATCTACATCTATTCTCGTTTATAAGAATCAAAATGCAGATGCATTGTCACCCCTGACGGCTGCGATGAAATGCCTCGATTTTAGTCAAAAAAGGCAGATAGTATTAAGCTGCTATTTTACGCTGGAATTCTGTGAGAGCGAGGTCCTTCATCGGTCGAGCCGACCCATTCGTACTATAATTATAATATAACTAGTATGGCTCTACCACGTCTAAATACAATTAATAGTACAAAGAAGTTAACGTTGCTGTAGTGCCATCAAGAAATGGCTTAAGTTATAAAGAGATGACAACTATTAACTGGGCATGGCATATGGACAATGAGACACTCTCCCGTTACAGGAGGACTTGCCTGTAACGCTACGCTTGGCGAGATTGATTCACGATGGCAGTTACAGACGTGTTGCATTGATGCTGCTTCCTTACATTGATTTGGGTATTTTACTATAGTTCGTGAGGGTAATATCGTCATCCGGTTAATGTGGTAATTTTCTTATAACTCAAAAACTACAGCCTTGTTTGCTTAGATGACTTCTGTGATAGGATAGCTCTTCATCAGTCAATCAAATATTAAAGGTTCAAGACGCCGTTTTGGCAGTTGATATTATAATAAATATTTTAGTCAATTTTAGTATTGTGTAGCGTTGCTAGTTTTTGTAGGTTGATTTTTCGAAGTGTTCCTAATTATTGCCAGAGCTTGTTTGCTATTTTGTTCTTAATATATTACATATACATAATACATAAACACTCACGCCTGTCACCCAGAGGGGTAGGCAGAGACTACAGACTTTCATTTGACACGATCCTGACACACCTCTCTTGCCTCCTTCACATCCATACACCTACGCATACATGCTCGTCGGTTAAGGGTCCTCATAATTTGGCCCGTTTTCAATAAATCGCCAATTTGGTCGATACATTTTCGCCTAGGACGTCCTTTTCCGACTCTGCCATTCACTTCTGCACCATAATTTTTTTTTGTCACTCTTTCCTCATTCATTCTTTCCACATGACCAAACCACCGAAGCATTCCTTTCTTAATCCTGGTCACAACATCATTTTGCAAACCACACTCTTCTCTTATTACACAATTTCTTACCCTGTCATTCAGATTCAGCCCTAACATACTCCTTAACGACCGCATTTCTACTGCGTTTATTCTACTCTCGTGCTTCTGCCACACCCAACTTTCACTACCATACGTTAAAGTAGGGACCAACACAGCATTGTGAATTGCCATATGTGCCTTTTTCGACACATTTTGACTCTTCACAATAAAGTGCAAAGCCTCATTTACGCTATTTCCCGCATTCACTCGTCGTTCTATATCCTTATCATATCTCCCATCCCTGCTAAATACGCAGCCCAAATATACAAACGTATCTTAATATATTAGTTATAGTAAACGAATTTGTGTTTTTGTCTCTGTCCTCCTCCTAGTTTTGGTTTTATAGGACGGCAAAGCTAAGGTGACCACATTACCCTCACGTAACTTAGTATAAAACTAGAGACCATGTAATGACGGCTTAAAGGAATCCACTACCCAATATCATCCCATGGTCGTCATAAGAGATAGCAATTTCTTGACAGAAAAACCCAATTATAGATTTTAACCAGACCCAGGATTTGAACCAGAGAAGTCGTGATCAGCAATCGCGTTTATGACCACTAGACCAACAGGTCATCAAAAATTTGAGGAGGCTACTGTTTCCAGCAGTAAGAACGTTTAAAGGCTGTACTTTACTTTTTTTGAGATGGTTATCGGAAGACATATCTCTTTAGCAATTCCCAAAGTCATGGAGTATACACCTCTACCCTCCATACCCAAAGTCTTTACGATACCCAGAGGACGAATGGAGTGATGGATTCACTAAGGTAGCACACAAATGTCGTCAAATAAAATTGATATATAATGGTTATCATCAAAACTTAAAGATTTTATTGTAGGTTATCGTGTATATACCTATACAGATATATACCTATATTTTATGAAAAGATAGTAAATAACTTTTGGTATTCTGTGATCAAATCGTAAACAGACACTTCTGGCGAGTCCCTAGTTAAAAATAATCGTAAGATTATGCACCATATCTCCCCAGTATACTCTATTAAAGTTCCGTAGTGCCCTGGGTACACACCCTTATAAATATTACATCTGCATAATGAATTCCCGCGCAGATGATATAGTTGCTTGGTACAGCAATATCCACTCTCCTGGATTAGTTGGTTTTATGACGAAAGATATTGCCGAATAGTTTACCTAAGTTATTTTTTATTTTCCCTGCATTGAATATGAAATTATAAGATAATGAAATGAAAGGTTCAGTATTCTGGACTTGTTTACTCATTATGCTTATTGGATTCGTCAAACGATATACGATACTTATTTACGTTGTACTTTTAAGGTACCCTTAAAACTACACATATTCTTAGGAAATATTTGTAAACAAAGTGTGTTTACTTTCATTCCATTCAACTATTTAACTACCTACAACTAGAGTTCCACCTTTTTCTTGAACAAATATAGTATTTTCCCAAAAGGGATGAAAAAATATAATAGGTACTTTTGAGAAATTCAAGAGAAAAAAGTACACATTTATTTCTAAACTTTATGAATTTTTTCATATATATTTGTTATTGCTCTTTCCTTTGGCCATTAATGATCTAACCACCTTACCTTTAAAATAATTATTGGTCTAAACAATTTAGATTCTTATTAAAATAAATTAACAATTAATTTTTAATTTCATTAACACATGCTCTTTTTCTTTCTTCTTTCAATTTTCCATTCATGATGGAATTTTTTTCTCTAAAACTTACTTGTTCCAGCTTCCAATTAATATAAAAATATAGTATTTTTCATACTATATTATTTTTCTATAATATATAGTACAATTGACTGAAATATAGTACGATACTATATATTATTATATATACGGGTGGCAACTCTACCTATAACTACCTTAACTAGCATTTTATAGATTTCATTAATGCGCTATCTAGTGTCAAAATAGAAAAATAATTCTAACTCATTACCACAGAGACTTTTTACGTACACTCAAGAATAAACACAATATTTTTGCCGGCCGCTAGATGTCACTGGTTGTGCAATTAATGGGTGCGTTTGGCAGAAAAAAGCGCTAGCAAGCGCTTATAAGCGCTGAAATAGTTTTCGGCCAGGACACGATTGCTACTTCAGTAGCGCTGACACAATCCGCCATTTTGCTTATTTAATTTGTTTGTTTTGAAGTAGATTTTATAAGTTATTTTGTGCAATATTAGTTTTAAGTAATATAATGACATGAATAAACATATACATGTTATTGAAATTCATGATTGGTAAGTTTTTAATATGAATACTTTACAAACATATATTTAAATTAGGTTAGGTTCCCCGGTTAAAACTAACATCGTGTCCTGGAGGAAAATAGCTACTTACGATTTGACAGCGCTTACCGCTTACGATCGCCATTTTGCTTACAAGCGCTTGCTAGCGCTTTTTTCTGCCAAACGCACCCAATATATTTTTTATTTTTCTAGCGTTACTTTGCGAAAATTTATTAAATGTAATAATATAAAATGATGTGTGTTAACTATTTTGAAAACTCTTCAAACTGGATAGCCGTTACCGTTAGCGTTACAGCCTAGGCTGGACATAGGCCTCCGCTGTCGATTGCCTATTTGTCATAGCTATAATTGCCGCCACGAGTGTGAGCACACTTTTTATTGGTCGATATGACGTTGACCACGCTGACGCTCAACGTGATTGGTTCGTCAACCTATTCCCGTCGTCTACTGGGTTCGCACGTATCATTCGACTACCGTACACTTGAGAGCAATTTTAGTGACAACTTTTTAATTAGTTTATTTTTGTTAACAGTAGTGTAACTTCGTTGTTAATTGTTGTTTGTGTATCTCTCGTTTTTAACTGTTTTTGATATTTCTTGTTGTTAATTTTTTTTGTTATATTTTGAGCATTCGGGCTAAATATGCAGAGAAGAAAGAATTCGGTGTTAAATAGACAATCCCGACAAATGGTCTATTCAGTGTTTTGTTACATGAAATAATTAGGTATTGCGAAAAATATGAAAGACGATTATAAACAGACTGCTAAGGCGACTAATGCCTACGTAGCTACGGCGTATAGTTAAAGGAGTTAACGACTCAGAATTTCGAAAAAAAAAGTCAGCGAAAATATTCAATTATGAATTGAAATAACAACAGTACCTAATAATTTTGGCCGACAGTGTACCTACGCTGGTCATTCATCTGTGCTCACGTTTCGTGCCGTAGAGCGTAGACGGAGAAACCTATTCGTGCCGGCAACTATACCACAGTTTATTTTTTATTTTTAGTCGTTATCACAGAGTACTTTTTTATATTGGTCGTTATTAGGATGACGCGACTCGACTCCACCGAGTCAGTAATTCATTTTTGGGGCGATGTAAGTGTACGCTTTTACAACAAAATCCCAGAAAATATACAAAATTTCACGTACACAAAGTTCAAAAACTTTATTAAACTAAGTTTGTATAATAAGGGATATTATAATATTAAGGAATTTATGGACGATAATAACGCCTGGGAAGGATGATCGCTACCACCTAACACCTAATTTTTTGTGTTGTTAATTGTAACATACATCATTGTAAGCTCTTATATAAAAAAAATAACAAAACACTTTTTTTGCAGCGATTTTCAATAAGTATTATTTATAATCCATATTTAATAAAAAGTTTCTGTTTCTGTTTCTGCTGATGCTCATCTCCTAATTTTTTTCTTTCTGTCGCCTCATGTGCCACCCATGTGATGATATGGGGTCGTGAATTTTTTTACGCTGACCATTACACAGTTACACAAACTGAGTAGGACACATCGTTTTATTTAATACCACGGGATTTAGCTAATTAATTTTAACCAGTTTAATTTAAATTATCCAATTAATTTAAATTCCAGACCCCCAGTGTCCCTGGCGATGGCACTTTCGCCCGCGCGCTACCCGCTGTTGTCGCCGCACTACGCGCCGCTGCCGCCGCCTCAAGCGACGCAACCGCCGCTACCCGACTCGTCGCACGACAACGACGACAACAACCCACACACTGATAGCGATGGTAAGCTTTTTTTATAGAAAAAGATTGACAAACGAGCACACAGTCCACCAGATAAGTGGATGCTGTGGCCCAGCCTACAACATATATCCTAGATTAAAGATCCTAGAATCAAAATGCAGATGCGTTGTGACCATTGAGGACTAAGATGGAATACCGCGTTTCCAGTCAAAGAAGTTATTGAGCTGCTTTTTTAAGCTTGTATTCTATGAGAGCGTGGTCCTACCTGGTTGAGTTGACGCATTCGTGCTACAACCATAATATAGCTGCAGCATGGCTCTACCACGTAAACATGTACAAAAGTACTTTCATTATTGCCATCGCACTGTCTCGTTAGTCTAGCGGTTGTAAACGCTGAACTGCTGGCTGATCATAAGCAATGGCTAACATCATTAAATATAATGGATTTCCGCAAAGTAGCGTCTGATACTATTAATTTACAGAAAAATAAAAAAATATATTAATTGCACAACCAGTGACATCTAGCGGCCGCCAGAAATATTGTGTTTATTCTGGAGTGTACGTAAAAAGTCTGTGTGGTTTAAGTGCGTTAGAATTATATTTCTATTCTGACACTAGATGGCGCATTAATGAAATCTATAGAATGTATAGTTATTCATTAGATTACTTACTTGATGGTATTTGGACGCTTGTCTTAAATGTCATAATACTATGAATCATTTATAAACAACAATAAAAAAATTGCAGACGACAGCATCGATGTCACCAACGAAGAGGATTCCACGTCGTATTCTCCACCAGCAATAGCAAGCTACCCTCAAAACTGTCCACCATATAGGTAAGTTTCCGTTGATAGTTTTGGTCCCCAACGAGCTACGTAATATTCCTCTACTAGTTGAACGCTATTTCAGTCATAAAACAAATAAGTTAAAGGTGTTCTACAGGATACATCTCCCTTTCACTGCCAGTGCCACCAGTGGAAGTGGTTATGAACAGTTGCAGGTGTTTCATATACGTAAAAACTGTACTAGTGCATACTTAATAAAATAAATACATGAATATATTCTTAGATGATAATTTTTTGACATCTTTAATTTATAAAAAGTTCTTTCTGTGATCCCATACGTACGTTTAGAGTAATTACATATATAAAACACACGTTTTCAATTAATTTTAATTCGAAAAAAACTCAACACTAAAGTTGTGAAGAACTTTTTAGTTGTTAATTTAATTTTTTAATATTTGATACTGGCTAAAGTACAACCGTACGGTTCCATGACCAAAAAAAGAAGAAAAAACATTTAAATGTCATCCACAAACTAAGAAAATATTTTATCAACTTTATTAACTAAATTCTTCACAATATGATGATGCGTCGCATTGCAGTTTTTGACGTGACAACGTATAATGAATCGATGAACACCGGCTGCATGCGCAAAAAAGGATGATTCATTGTCCCGTTACGCTCCAGCCGAGCCGAGCACGATCGGTGCGAGAGTGCGGCACGAACGAGCAAAAGGCACGATCGGTTTGAGCGTTCGGCTTGCGCCGTATCTATCTCTCTTCCACTCAATCGGGCTATGCGTCCGATGAGAAGAAAGTCAGCGGCAGCACACAACTTACATAATCATTTCATCAATGTTTTGTTATGAAGTTGTCACGTTAAACTATCGTCCGTAACCAACTTTACAGACAACCATTTTTGATAGCAAAACCAGAGGATAGTAATAATAACGATAGTAGGTATCTCCCGCCGCTAAAGTGGGCAAAACTCCTTGAGATTTATATCACTATCAAGGCACTTGTAATATTGTTTCCACTAATAGTTCTATTGGGCAGACATTTAATACACATAAACGCAACTCTTTGACGTACCTATCAAAGTTCACTTTAAACCAATATAAACGATACTACAAGAGTCCTTCAAAGGTGTCATTGCCAAGGCAAAGTCAGAGCACATCGGCAGAATTGGTGAGGGACTTCCTTCAGGAACGTGCATTCTCACCTCTCGCCAAGGCTGTCCAAGGGAATTTCTGTCAACTATTTCTCCCATCTCTGCACTGGGAGAACAACTCACTGACTTATGACGCAAAGGACAAAGACGATATGCAGGGCTCTCTCTTTGCGTCCAACTCGATTCTTGATGACAGGGGAGCACACCACCGACCATCCCGTGGTGTGAGTGTTCCATGCAGGATGTGCTGTTTACCCAGCGCTCGGTGCGCAGAGCACTCCACTCCCTAGATATCAATAAGGCCTGATGACGTCCCTCCTGTACTGAAGACGTATGCTCCGGAGTTGGCACCGTTTTTTATGCGTCTTTTTCGGTACTACTACTCTCTAGGCGTAGTCCCAAAATCATGGAAAACAGCTTTAGTGCACCCGATCCCTTAAAAAAGACTCTATCACCTCCTTGTTCTCCAAAATAATGGAATCCATTATAAAATTTCCAGCTCATGAGGTACCTTGAGGTTCACCAGCTGATTAGTCACTGCCACTACGGTTTCCGTCGGGGTCACTCAACTGGTGATCTTCTGGGTTACCTAACTCATAGATGGATGGAGGCAGTAGAGCCCAAGGGGGAGGCGTTGACCGTTAGTTTGAACACAGCGAAGGCCTTAGATCGGGTTTGGCACAGAGCGCTTCTTACGAAGCTCCTTCCTATGGGCTTCCCGAGAACAATTGGATCACCAGTTTTCTTGCAGATCACAGCATCAAGGTCGTAGTAGACGGTGCATGCTACGATTACAAGCCCATTAACGCTGGTGTTCCACAAGGCTGCGTGCTATCACCAACGCTGTTTTTTCTGCATATCAATGATATGTTGTAAACCAGTAACATTTATTGCTATGCGGACAACAGTGGTGATGCTTGCTGGTAATACACCGGCAGTGCCAATATTTCTCGGGAAAACGTCGTTGATTAAATGGACAAACTTGTGTCTAAAGTCAAGACTTTGTTGAACAAAGTATCGGTCGATTTACTGTTAAAAAGAAACCCTTTGTCGTATCTGTTCAGTTTCAAGGCACTCCCCTTGTTGCTCTAGCCAGTATCGGTATCCTCGGCGTCGCCATATCGAGTGACGTGCAGTTCTGTGTTCACTTGGAAGAGAAGGCCAAATTGGCCTCTCAAAGCTTGGCTTGGCTTGGTATAGTTGTCGGTAGAACGTTGCAATCTTAGTGTCTAATTCTTCCGATAATTTGTTAACATTAGGCAGATTTTATTTAATTATCAATAGAACCTTTGTACGAACTCAGTATAATATGACTGTTACCTACTGTATCTTGAGTGTACTTACATAAATAAATTTAAAAGGAACCTTAAAAACATTTTCAGACCTTTGGGAGTAGAAAGTTCCGCAGAGACAGCAGCTCGATTGCTGTTCATGGCCGTCAAATGGGCGAAAAACCTGCCTTCCTTTGCTAGCCTAGCCTTCAGAGATCAAGTAAGTAATTCCTATTGTGGAATTACCGTATTTTATAATCAATATATTTTGTAAGTGCGCTTAGTACTAGTATCTTTGTTAAGTTGTTTTATGGTGGAAATTTTTATGACTAGTAATAATAGGGCAGAAGGAGGCCTGGCCGCAGAAGGATATCGTGGCTGAAGAACTTGCTCCAGTGGTTCGGGAAGAGCACAAGATCACTATTTAGAGCAGCGGTCTCAAAAGTTGAAATCGCCCTGATGATTGCCAACCTTCGCAAGGAGACGGCACCTTAAGAAGAAGAATAATAGGGTAGTTTTTACTTCTGTTAGAAAGAGAAAGAAAGAATACAATGTAGTCCTTAGACAAACAAACAATTTTCCAAGATGTGATCCTATCTTCAAGATATAATCGCTACGTTTTAGTAGAGAGTATTACTGTACTGTGATGTTTACTACTGTGTCGTACGTACTATTAGAAATTGTATGGAATTAGTAATAATAGTAAGGCCTTCCAGACAGCTTTTCGATCACAGCGGCAAGTCTAAACAGAGACTAGGCATCAGTAACACACAGTTATACAGTAACATACAGTTATAGTGTAACATACAGTTACACAGTAATACAAATACAATGTTAACAGTAATATACAGAGCCACAGTAACACACAGTTATACAGTAACATACAGTTACATTGTAACACACAGTTACACAGTAACACAGCAACAAATAGTTACACAGTAACACACAGTTATACAGTAACATACAGTCACATTGTAACACACAGTTACACAGTAACACAGAAAAAATATTTACACAGTAACACGCAGTTATACAGTAACATACAGTTAAAGTGTAACACACAGTTGCATAGTAATACAGTAACAAATAGTTAACAGTAATATACAGTGCCACAGTAACACACAGTTATACAGTTACATCCAGTTTCATTGTAACACACAGTTACACAGTAACACAACAACAAATAGTTACACAGTAACACGCAGTTATACAGTAAAGAGTGAGTTGCATTATACAGTAACAAATAGTTAACAGTAATATACAGTGCCACAGTAACACACAGTTAACAGTATATACAGTTTCATTGTAAGTAAAGGAACAGGAACAAATAGTTAACAGTAAAGTAAAGTAGGTTAACCACAGTTGCGTAGTAATACAGTAACAAATAGTTAACAGTAATATACAGTGCCACAGTAACACACAGTTATACAGTAACATACAGTTTCATTGTAACACACAGTTACACAGTAACACAGCAACAAATAGTTACACAGTAACACACAGTTATACAGTAATACACATTACAGTAATATACAGTGCCACAGTAACACACAGTTACACAGTAACATGTTCGGCACAGTTACAGTAATACAGTAACATACAGTTACATTGTAACACACAGTTACACAGTAACACAGCAACAAATAGTTACACAGTAACACACAGTTATACAGTAACATACAGTTACAGTGTAACACACAGTTACACAGTAACACACAGTTATACAGTAACATACAGTTACATTGTAACACACAGTTACACAGTAACACAGCAAAAATAGTTACACAGTAACACGCAGTTATACAGTAACATACAGTTACAGTACAGTAATACACAGTGACACAGTAACACACAGTTATACAGTAACATACAGTTACATTGTAACACATAGTTACACAGTAACACAGCAAAAATAGTTACACAGTAACACGCAGTTATACAGTAACATACAGTTACAGTGTAACACACAGTTACACAGTAATGCAGTAACAAATAGTTAACTGTAATATACAGTGCCACAGTAATGCCCCGGCTACGCGCTCCGTCTTGCCTGCACAGTCCAGGCCTGTGCAGTCATGACTGTACAGCGGTTCGTGCAGCTAAGTTTGTGTAAACTGGACTGTGCAAACCTTAAAGTGTTTTGAGAGCTAGTCACGTCACGATGTGGCCAGAAGAGGTTTTTTTTAAACGGAGCCTTATATTATTGTTTACTTGTAAAAAAGCAACAAATAAGAAAGTTAGTTTTTCAATTAATAAATGATAAGCTTAATTTTTTTTGTTCCTGTCGGAATATTCCTTACTTTTAATTTTCCACAACGCCGACAACGATTTGTACAATTCTACGAATTGAGTCAAAAATCCCTGGAATAATTCCGTACATTTCATTTTAAGATTTTAACATAACATGTGTCGTCAAAAAGAATTTAGACGGACTGAAGCGCGGCTTGAATACCCGGCCACACGCCCAAGTAAGCTCGCAGGCAAAACCGTGCAAACCAAACCCGCGCAGTCCAATGTTTAGCACGTCAACATTAGCGCGCGGGTTACCTGTGCAAACCGGTTTGTGCAGGCATGCTCACAGGCAAGACGGAGCGTGTAGCCGGGGCATAACACACAGATATACAGTAACATACAATTACAGTGTAGCACACAGTTACACAGTAACACAGTAACAAATAGTTACAGAGTAACATACAGTGCCACAATTTAACAGTAACACACAGTTTAACAGTAAGGCAATAACGCACAGTTACTAAATAACACACAGTTACGAAGTTACACACAGTAACACAGCGCGATTGCATGCCCAATCACTGTAACGCCTAGACATAACTCTACTACACTAGCACACCGTCGATAATATGAGTGTTTCGCCTCCTAAGGAGGCATCATCAGAAGAAATAGATTCTACGATGTTTAACTTCTAAGTGATATTTTATTATTAATTTCATCGTTTTAGGTGATACTGCTCGAAGAGGCGTGGTCGGAGTTGTTTCTGTTGAATGCGATACAATGGTGCCTGCCTTTAGACGCCGCTTGTACCGCTTTATTCGGCAGCGAACAGACTGATCAAGGTATTTACACTGTAGAGACTCTTTAAAAAACGTTAACTTCACACTAGGATTTTCTCCTGTATCGTGGGGGTAGTTTACATTCATAAATTTCACAAGGATAAACATCCAGACCGGTAACAATTATTTGTAGGCCATACTAACACTTGTTCCGTGCGGGATTCGAATTCGCGGCCCTGAGAGGTTCAACTCATTGCTAAGCCACTGCACCACGGAGCCGTCTAATCCATCAAATGACAAAATCCATCCACTGTAGATATCCATCTTGACTCGTGGGTGATGTTAGAGACAAAACAAATAATTCTTAAGAATTACATTGACTACTATTAGCAAAATAACAGTCACGTTGACTAGTACGTGGTTTAAGTAGTGGCACGAAAGTCTAGCGGTGATCGTTATTGCGCATAAGTCGAAAATAAGGTATCATAGGGTAGTAAGCGGGTCACGGGGTGGGCGTGTGTATCGCAGATTGGTTGAGCGTATTGTTCGCACGCGCTGATTGGGTACTGCTACTTGCGTACGGCTACGGCTATTGGTACTGATACGACATGCGCAATTATCCCCTGTACGTTTTGTTCAGAGCTGGACTTACGTGCCGCGACTTGTACGTACGTACATGGTAAAGTCACAGTTTAAGGTCGCTGCATACGTAACGTGTTTTATCCCGGACGGAGCGGGACGTGAAATTTTGGAAATATCGTTTCATAGAAAAATGTACGTGATAATGCATACGTAACGGATGCACGAACGGGACGGGGACGTGGCATGAACGGGACGGGAAAAATATCGTTGGCGACGATGTTTACCCCGTCCCGCCCGGGGCGTGCCACGTCCCGTTCGTGGTTCCGCTGAGTATTCACAGTCGCTCCGATGTCGCACAGGCGAAAAACTAATTTAATGTGTATGATCATGTCCATGTTTGTATAATCTGGCACAACATATTAAACACAAAATATTAAAAAAAATTAGTTAGTATAAATTTTATTTTCCATTTATGTTGTCATACGAAAATACATATGAAATTGAGTCTTGTCATCCAAATATTTTTTGTAGAGTGTGGTATGAGTACCAGGAGTATGGTATGATTAGAAGGTGATCCTTCTAGTCCTATTTCCTGTCACGTATGATCTACAGAAAATCTCCTTTTGCTTTTGACTGTTGTCTGTTCTATATTCTGTTGTATGTTCTTTATCATCTGAAGCAATAGCAATTAATGCCAATTCTTGAAATGAAAAATACATCTTTTACAACACTAGCACATTATTTTCCAGTCACTGTCATGGTGCGTGTGCATTAAACTCCCGTCCGTGTAGACATACATCCACGTTCCGACTCCGTCCCGTGCACGTGCTGATTCCGTCCTGTATGCAGCGACCTTTAAAGAGCTCACTGTTGTGAAAAGTCTTTGATGTCAGGCGATGCCGCTGCCCGCGTGGGTATTTTTACTATTTACATCGTCTTCGCATTATGCTAGGGGCTGTCACGATATTGTGAATAAAATAATTTTAGATATTATAATACTCATTCTCATTTATTAAGAGGATACCTTGAAAATTAATCGTAGTTTTGAGGGCGTGGCTTATTCCTTTGTCGGTGAAGCTCACGGACGACTGCGGGAGTGTCAAAATGAAAGTGATGCAATGACTTCTTATTAAGCAAATTATGAGATAGCTATGCCGAGCACACGCTCGGAAAAAACTAAGTAAGCGCCAAACAACATTTTTATTTTTTTGACAAAACTACGTTATGTATTAAAAAAATGGTTTATGAAAACTTAGATATGATTATTTACTATGCCTTAAAAATAATTCCATGAACTTATTCGTAAAGTTATTGTGGTGTCATGGAAAAATGTAACTAATTAGAGCTTACTTTGGAATTTTTTTCTATCGAGAAAATTTCATGATATCGTATTTTCCTTTTATGCAATCCAAGGTCATATAGTCAAAAATCATATACCAAAATTTGGGTTTGTAATCTATAAAACTTTAAAAAATACGTAAAATAGAAAAACCACCAAATTTTCGAGGTAGGTATCACCTTAACATTATGCACATACTTATAAGTTAAAAAACATTTATTGAACAAGATCATTATTTATTACTACAAGAAAACACATTTACAAGTGTTGCGGTGGCAAATATTTTCGGGACTCTTTTTATAAATGTCTTCGGTTTTCGATTGTTAAATAAAAATTAACAATCGAAAACCTTATAGATTAGATTAGATTTAACAATCGATTGTTAAATTAAATTTAATTGGACAAATAAACAAAACGTGTAACCAAATAAAATACATTAAAAAAACCATTCCTTAAAAATATGCTCCATGTGTACGCGCATAAATAAGATAATACAGTATATCGTATAAGCGAACAATTGAAGACAACAATCACATTTTTATTTCACTGTTCCAGGTAAACTATACCAAAAACTACCTTCCCCACAAAAAAAGTATAGTTTAAGAAATACATATTATACATTTTATATAAAATTTTGATGCCAAATATTTATAATATTTATGCCACAATTGTTACATCATAGTACTTTATATTTAGTTTAAGTAAAAGTTAATTTGAATGTCATTTAAATAATAAGCTTAAGTATAATGTATAAGAACAAACTGTGCAGTGCCAAGACAAACAAAAGATGTTTAATGGCATGAAGAAATTGTTTTTGTAGTTAAAACTGTTACATTGTTGAATAAATTAAAAAAATAATAATTATGTAGTGTATTTGTATTCGGATTATCATTTTTATCAAAAAAAAAAAAATATGAGGGAAACTTAGGCATGACCATTATTTGAATTCAACTTTATGTAGTAACTCATATAAGTATAGCAGTAATTCACCATTACCTATAGATTTATATTTTTCGAAAACGGCACTTAAAATTAAAAAAATAAGTACTATAAAAGACGCTCCCTTCAACTGCATGTCTGGTCCAGCAGACAAGTGGAGTGCGCTAGCACAAGGTGGGCCCGCTCCCTTTTCCCGCAGTGCCCCCACCGCTTTTCTGCTCAAGTATATTCGCTTATCAACCGTTAGAATGTCTTGAAACTGTGGTAGAGCCATGCTGCGGCTACACTATGGTTGTAGCTTGAAGAGTCGGTTCGTCCGAGGAAGGATCACGATCTCGCAGAATACCAGCGTAAAATAGCGGCTCAAAGTTGTGTTACTTGTGTATCGTATGGTGAGTGAAAAGAACCGGAGACTTCTTTTACGTGAAACGAGGTATTCCATCTTAGTCCTCAGGTTTAAACGCATTAGCATTTTCATTCTTCATCGAGGATAGATGCAGATGTATGGGTCACAGCATTCACTTAATCGGGTGGACGGTGTGCTCGTTTGTTACCCTCTCCTATAAAAAAAGATGGGCAGGTGCATCTTACTGATAACAACTTACTTACTTACTTACTTACTTATCTTCACGCACAATCCCTAACGGGGTAGCCAGAGAGAACAGATCGCCAAGTGTCACGATCCTTACATACCTCTTTCGCTTCCTTCAGGTTCATTAACTTCTTCATACATGCACGTCTAGGTATCCGAGTACTCTTGACCCTCCCCTCTTCGAGCAATTTGCTCACATGGTCTTCGAAAGTTAGTCTCGGTCTACCTCGACACCTTTTAATATTTACTTTCGCTCTATATATTTTCTTCACCATTCGGTCTTCACTCATTCGTTCAACGTGCCCAAACCATTGGAGTACGTCCCTATCAATTTTTGTGATAAGGTCATCTTTCAATCCTGCCATATTGCGAATCTCTTCGTTTCGCTTTCGGTCGGCTAAGGTAACGCCACACATTTTACGAAGAGATCGCATCTCCACTGCATTCAACTTGCTTTTATGCTTCTTCTGGCATACCCAGGTTTCGCTGCCATATTACAAAGTCGGTACCAACACTGCATTATGTATTGCAAGGCGTGCACTCTTCACCACGCCTTGCCTTTTTACTAATGCATTCAGGGCACCATTGACTTTGTTTCCGGCAGCGACACGCCTATCCACATCTAAATCACATCTTCCATCCCGGCTGAAAGCACTCCCCAAGTATACAATTTCATTTACCTGTTCTAGACATTCCTGATTTACCCATATTTCACATTTCGTTATCTCTTCGTCCTTTTCAAATACCAGAACCTTAGTTTTATTAGCATTCAAACGACCTTTAATTTCACATTCGTGTATGAAAGAGTCATACACGTAACTAATGCCTGCAGTTCTGCTTCTGATGGTGCAATAAGCACTGCATCATCAGCATACAGCAGACAATTCACTTTTATGTCACCCAATTTCACACCCAAACAGCTATTTTTCAGCTTCTGTAAACAACTGTCGAGATACAGTATGAACAGCCAGGAAGACATGACACAACCCTGTTTTACACCCGCTTGGACACTAAACATGGGTGACAGGTCATGCCCTATCCGCACACAGGCTTTACAGTCATAGTAAAGTGACTGCACAGCCCTTAACAATCGACCATCCACACCATATCCCGGCAACAGTTCCCACATTTTCTTCCTTATAACCTTATCAAATGCTTTCTCCAGATCCACAAAAGCACAGAAAATCTTCTGGTTAACACTCAGAAGCTTCTCCGTGATCATGCGGAGAGAAAACATTTGATCCGTGCATCCTCTTCCAGGTCTAAATCCGCATTGTGCCTCCCATAAGAATCTTTCCGATTTCTCTTGCATCCTACGTGTCAAAACCTTCGAGTAAACTTTACTTGCTAAACTGGTCAAGCTGATCGCCCGATAGCACCCGCAGTCAAAATGTGAACCTTTACCTTTATATAAAGGCACAATGACCGCGGATCGCCAATCATCCGGGACATCTCCCGTCCGCCAGCACAAATTGCACAGCAGATGGAAGCTGTCCCAGACGCGAGGCCCACCGTACTTGACCATTTCAGCAGTAACTCTGTCTAGTCCCGCAGCCTTACCACATTTCAAACTTCGAATCGCACGTTCAATCTCTTTCATGCTGATGACCTCAGTGTCATCGAGGTCCGTGTCTGGCGTGCCAGTCACGGCGTCACCCCCGGATCCTTCACTAAGATCATGACACGCATACATTTCTCTATAAAATTCACTCCATCGCTGCATGACGTCCGATTTTTCTGCGAGGACGTCATTGGTTCTCGAAAGCACTTTGTTCATTCTTAAGGCTGTCGCACCACTCCGGGACCCTCCAACCTCTTTCCAGAAGAGTTTGGAGTTTTCCCTACAAGTTGTGCGACAACCTCTCGTCCGCTTCTATTCTACACCTTTCACATACTTCCTCAATCAATGTTTTCGCATGAACTTTCTGCAGCTTATATCTTTCTTTCATCTTCTCTCTCATATGCTCATCGTTACTAGAGGCCAAGTAGTCTAACCATGCTTTTTTCTTCTTTTTTTACAGCTTCTCTCACTTCATCATTCCACCATGCATCTCTTCTTTTACTACTACCTCTTTTTGTCGTACCACATACTTCTTCCGCTGCACTTACCATTCCATCCCTAAGGTTCTGCCATGTTCTCTCCACACATTCTTTCCTGCCATCGATGGTGTCAAGCTTTTCGGCTACCCTCGTGTGATATTTGTCCCTAGTATCCGCTTCCTGAAGCTTCCAGCTTCGGATGCGACAGACCGACTGTGGTTCTGTTACTGCCGTCCGGTAGCGCCAACCCGCGAACAAACCCCTAAATTTAATAATTACTAGATAGTGATCCGTTCCCACGTCAGCACCCCTGAACACTCGTGTATCCATCACCTGTTTTCGCAGTCGGTCATCCACCAGGAACAAATCAATAATACTTCTCTCATTCTTTCTTTCTCTAGTGTACATATGGATTTTCCTGTGATTAAACATAGTGTTTGTCACAAGAAGACCCTTTTCCTTGCATACAGCCAGTATAAGCTTGCCAGCATCATTAACCCTTTTATCGCCAAACTTTCCAAGCACGACTCGTATCCTGGTCGAGCGATACCAACCCATCCATTCAAATCACCACATACAACAGTTCTTTCGTTTCCCTTAACCAAATCTAGAACTTCTCTTACATTCTCCCAAAATTCCTCCAGCTCAGCCCTGGACGACGAAGCTACCGGTGCATAAACAGCCTAAAGGAATAACTTCGTCAGTCCCAGTTTAAAGCGAACCCTTGAGAGAAGTCTTGAGTTCACAACCTTTACTTCCACACCTTTACTTTCACTGATAACAACCACATATTTAAAACTTTTGTTCGCCGATCTACTCGCCAAGTGTGGCAAATATTCCTCCTATAGGGCAATTTATGGGGGAGGCTTTTGTTCAGCAGTTGATTTTTCACAGACTGTAATGAATTAATGAATCCTGGTTTATTTCCCTCTGTCACCTCTTACGACACCTATGACAATATGAAGCAGTGGATATTCTTTGTACTACAGTCAATGCATATATCAAAATGATAGAAATTTAAACCAGAATATTTTCAAGTTGTGATTTAATACTGAAATTATATCAAACTTATTTAAAAAAAAGGTAAAACTCCAATTGTTAATAATCTTATTTTTAATTAAATTTTTTCTTACACAATTATACCTTTGAACATGTTTGTTACCTTTATTTTACACAAGTGAGTGACAAATAAAATGAGAATGTCATCAATGTAGTCGAAGTCAATTAAGTTAAAGTTACAGCCTATATACGTCGTACGTACCCACTGCTGGGCACAGGCCTCCCATCATTTCTGAGAAGGTTTTAGGGCAAGGCAAGGTTCCGCCACGCTGCCCCAATGCGTGTTGGCGAATTTCACATGTCTTCGAAATATATTTTGTGTCACGATGTTTTCCTTCACTGCCGAGCACATGGTAAATCAGCATTTAAAATTGCAATTAACAATTTCATTGGTGCCAGCGGGGATCGAACACGATTTACTCGCGTTCTGTTATACCGGGTGGCCCATAAGTCCCTTGAAATGTAAAAAAAATAATTAAAAAAAACTAATGACATTATGAAAAAGGTTTTTATTTTGTCATAATCCTTATAAAATGGGAATTATTTTTTGAAAATTACATCACCTAAATGTAATCCGTTACGATCGCGGCACTCCTGTAAGCGACGTTTAAAATTATCCATCACTGCGCGGCAAGTAAGCTCTGTAATGTTTGCCATTTCTCTTTGGATATTTTCTTTCAGGACGTCAATCGTCCGCGGGTTGGTTTCGTACACTTTAGTCTTAAGATAACCCCATAAGAAAAAGTCCATTGGGGTCAGATCTGGACTACGTGGTGGCCAAGGAATATCTCCTCTTCGAGAGATCACTTTATTAGGGAAAAGTTGACGGACGACCGGCATAGCGACGTTAGAGGTATGGGCAGTTGCTCCATCTTGTTGAAACCAGGTCCGCGTATTGAAGCCTGGAAAATTCTGCAACTCTGGTGTACAAAAGTCCTGGATCATAGCTACATACCGTTGTGAAGTAACAGTAAGCGCGCGGCCTCTGCCGTCCTCAAAAAAGTAAGGGCCTATAAAGCCATGCGCTGACATAGCCGCCCAAACTGTCACTTTAGGGCTATGTAAGGGCTTTTAATGTTTGCGATTTGGATTTTCGCAACTCCAGTAGCGACAATTTTGCTTATTGACATGGCCGTTGATGTGAAAGTGAGCCTCATCAGAGAATAACACGTTATTAAACGAAGTAAAGCGGTTCAACATTTCATTTGCGAAATTTAGTCTGTGGATAGTGTCAGTATCTTTTAATTCCTGTACTATCTGAATCTTGTACGGGTGAAGATGTAAATCTTTCTTTAAAATTCGCTGTAACGATGTTCTGGGTAAGTTTAATGCACTGGAACGCTTACGAGTAGACTGGGTAGGATTTTCACGAATTGAGTGTTTCACTACATCGATGTTTTCTTCCGTCCGTGATGTCCTTGGTCAACCTGACCGTTGTTTATCCAACGTCGAACCACTCTCTTCGAACTTAATAACCCAGTTATTAATCGTTTGAACACTTGGAATGTCTTTAAAGTTGAGTAAATTCTGATATTCTCGAAATTTACGCCACACAATGGTAGCCGAATCGTTGTTTCGATAAAACTCGCGCACACAAAATGCACGGTCCGCACCGGTGAAACGCTCCATGGCGACTGAATTCCCAGAAACCGTCGGTACTCCCCCCGCACCGCGCGCGCCACTCATGCGCGCCTTTTTGTATTTTATTCGAAATTTACATTTCTAACGACTTATGGGCCACCTTGTAGTTACAGTGAGCGTTAACCATCTGACCTACCACGGCTCAAGTCAATTAAATACGCATTATTAAAGATAAATCCAAAACTACTAGTCAAATCTTGTTTACATTTATATGGGATTACATGGAAAGTACCAGCTATCAAATAAAAAAGATACATCAAAATCGGTTCACCTAGAAAAAAGTTTTGAGGTAACACATTAAAAGAACACAGTCGAATTGAGTACCTCCTACTTCTTTGAAATCGGTTGAAAAAAATCTAGTAATAACGAAATAACTATCATATCGACTAATACGGCTATAACTGTCCTGATGAGGGTCTACTATGGGAAACGCTAAAAAATCTCATGGCTTTTAGATAGATGACGAAATAATTCACTTACCGTATTTATGCCTTTTTAACGCCAGACGCAAAATATCTAGACCAGCGAAACAAATCAGCGTTTTAAAACCATTTTTTTATAGAATAAGGGTGACAAACGAGCACACAGTCCACCTGATGGTAAGTGGATGCTGTGACCCACAGACATCTACATTTATCCTCGATTAAGATTCAAAACGCAGATGCGTTGTCACCCTTGAGGACTAAGATAGAATGCCTCGTTTCCAGTAAAACGGGTCTCCGGATCTATACACTCAACACACGAAACACAATAATATTAAGCTGCTATTTGACGCTGGTATTCTGTGAGAGTGCGGTCCTTACCGGTCGAGCTGACCCATTCGTGCTACAACCATAATATGTGCATAGCTACAGCGTGGCTCTACCACGTATAGAAATATACGAACCACTTATCTTTTAAGTAATATATCTTTTAAGGGACGTCTTTAAACCAGAAAGATATGGACACCGATAGCTGGTGGTACACCATTTCGTATTCGCCTCATCTCGTATTTCTTATACAATGTCATTAATATATGAAAAACCATTTTTAAAACGTTGTCTCTCTGTCTGCCTGTCTGTTTGTTCGAGCTAGTCTTCGAAATGACTTAACCGACTTTAATAAAACTTCACAAACACATAGAGAGCAATGCCAACTTCACATGTCTTCGAAATATTTTTTTTCTTATTCCTCAGACATGCAGGTTTCCTCACGATGTTTTCCTTCACCGCCGAGCACGTGGTAAATCAGCACTTAAAATTGCAATTAACAATTTCATTGGTGCCGGCGGGGATCGAACCCGGGTTACTCGCGTTCTGTTATATTTACAGCGAGCGTTAACCACTGAGCTACCACGGCTCTATATAAAGGATTTCTATATTCTATAAAGGATTTCCGTTGACACAGAAAATGGCGTGAACTCGGCGACCTTGCGTCGGCTTCGTGAAGTGTTAGCTAGATACAGAGCCGTGCTCGTCGACCCTGCGGAGTTCGCCTGTATGAAAGCGATCGTACTTTTTAAGTCAGGTAAGTGATTTATTTCGATACATATTAATTAATTTATTTATTAAATTCAAAATTCAAAAACCTCTTGCTTGCTTCTACTCCGATCACATGTTACACGCAATTTTTTTCCAGTCGGTAAAAAAGGTTAACCAGTATATATATATATATATATATATATATATATATATATATATATATGTGTGTGTGGTTGTAGTAGTGCGGCTGCTGATCATTAGGTCCTGGGTTCGAATCCCAGGTCGGGCCAAAAAATCAATTATTGAATATTTCCGTCAAGAAATTCTCAGTAGTTGCCCGGAGTCAGGAAGTTGGCGGTGTCTCACCCCCGTGCCTCGGAAAGCACGTAAAGCCGTTGGTCCTGCGCCTGATCTCTCCTGTCCTGTGACCGAAATTCGGTCTGGAGGACATTATTATTATTATTATTATTATATATATATAAGCGAAACACCATTGACTCACTCACTCATCACGAGATCTCCAAAACTATACGCCCGATTGACTTCAAATTTGGCATATTATAATACTTATACGAGTATATTCCTTTCTCGACGTAGGCACCAACTAAGAAAGAATTTCGGAAAATTCAAACCCTATGAGGGTATTACAGCTTGTAATTAGTATGTACTGAGCACAAAACATTTGATTACTTCAGTCATGCTTAGCATGGTTAACGCGAGGATTTTCTACATTAAAAGGCTTTAGCGCTTACTTATCCGATGCTAATCTAATCTAAATGATAATAAAACACACCACTCTCGATAATACGAAACGTGTTTTGCCTCTGCACGAGGCATCCTCAGGTGAATGCTGTGGTTCTTAGGTGGTCAGCCTAAGTAATGTGTGTGTAAACTTATTATAAATTATCACCAAATGTAACGCTTAACTTATGCCGGCTGTACACGCTCGTCTCGTCGCCTCGCGTGCCTCTTGTCGTGTTGAGGCTCGACACGAGAACACACCATGTACACACTCGTTGTATCATTTGAACTCCGTATGCCCGCTGAGATGGACCTAGATGAAACTGTTGCTGCGTTTTGCTTTTGTGCTATTAGTTATTATAACTTTTGACACATTTACCATAAAAATAAAATTAATAAGCCACGGCGAAGAAGAAGATGATGAATGGTTTCTATTTACCGGAACTGAACCATTTACGGTGAATATAATATGGTATGCTCTCATATTCATCAGACGACTCCGTGGCGCAGTGGCTTAGCAATGAGTGGCTGCGCTGGGGGTCGCGGGTTCGAATCCCGCACGGAACAAGTATTTGTATGACCTACATATAGTTGTTCCGGGTCTGGATGTTTGTCCTTGTGCAATTTATGTTTGTAAACTGCCCCCACGATACAAGAGAAAATCTTAGTGTAGGGTTAACGTTTAAAAAAAAAGAAATAAAAAAAGAAACAAAGAAAAAAAGAAAAAGAAAAAGAAATATTCATCGCGAGACTCAAGAGACCCTTTGACTCGAGCCCAAAAAACCAACACGCTTCCGAGAGCGCACGAGGGCCACGAGACGTAACTCGACGCGACGAGAGCACACACTCGTACTCGGCCTGTCTCGTGGTGTCTCGACGAGCGTGTACAGTCGCCATTACAAATAACATTTTGAATTGTAATTTTATCATTTAGAGTTATTATCAGGAAGATGCTGCTGGCCTTCTACTGTCTCAGTTTCTCTCTGTCTCCCCATACGCCACCCACTGGACGAAATGGTGCAGTACGTTGTACGGCTATAATTATAACTAATAAAAAAATGTATATTTACAGAGACCCGTGGTTTAAAAGACCCGTTACAGATCGAAAACCTCCAAGACCAGGCGCAAGTGATGTTGATGACTCACGCCAGGACCGCTCACGGAGCTGCCCCAGCGAGGTTCGGGAGGTTGTTGTTGTTGCTGCCTCTGTTACGTCTGGTCACCCCACAAAATTTGGAGCGTGAGTTTTTTGCGAAAACCATAGGACAGACGCCGATGGAGAAAGTTTTGGCTGATATGTACAAAAATTAATCCGGCTCGAAGGATCAGAGATCTTAAGAAACTATTTATTAAAGAATTTGCTATAATTTATTGCTTTTAATTACCGTTCGTAGCATAATAATTGACAACAAATTCGATCTTCCCGTGAGTGTCGTAAGAGGCGAGGGGGGAAACTGGAACAGGAGATGGGCAGCAGAATCTACAACTGCGGTTTCAAACCCGCTTGCCAATCGTGGAAACTATGGAAAAATCCTCCCTATGGGGCCATCTATGAGGGAGGCCTGTGTTCAGCAATGGCTTTTATAGGCTGTAATTGATGGATGGATACTTTCTTCCCAGAAAGATGGAGGGCGAAAGCAAAAGATTAAGAAAGTAGAAAAGGAATCTGGGTAAAAGTACCCGACAAGACAAATGTCCATCTACCTCTGTAGTCTTAAATGATTCTGGATTTGTTTTCTGTACATTTATAATTAAATTTAACACACGCTTTAAATGTCTAATGGATTGTTAAAAACATTACCCTGCATCTGGGGAGAGTCAGGTAAAAAAGCACAATATAATTATAATGTGTACGTACATAAAAAGTTTGTAGTTTGTGTTTACAGTAATTGTAAATAATTTCATTTAAACTCGTCTGAGTCATTTATTACTGAGCTGACTCAGTAATAAATGACTCACTACAAATTCATAGCCACGAATATATAGGTTATTCAAGCATTATAACACAATAACATAAAAAACCCAATACATACATATACTCTCACGCATGTCACCCAGAGGGGTAGGCAGACACCAAAGACTTTTATTTGGCACGTTCTTGACACAAATCTCTTGCTTGTTTCACGTCCATATATCTAGGTGTATATGGTCATCAGTTAAGGGTACTCTTAATTTAGCCCATATTCGATCTATCAATTCATCAATTAATCAATTTTGTTCTATAAAATTCCGTCTAGGACATCCCTTTCTGATTGCCCCTCACTTCTGCAGCTTATTTATACATGGTAAAGGTATGCTGCAGATTTGCAGATATATTATGGTTGTAGTACGAATGGGTCGTCTCGACCGGGGAAGGACCACGCTCTCACAGCGTAAAATAGCAGCTTAATGCTGCTGCGTTTAGGGTGGTGAGTGTAGAGAACTAGAGACCCTATTTACCGGAAATGAGGCGTTACAGCTTAATCCTCCAGGGTGACAGCACACCTACATTTTGATTCTTTATCGAGGATATATGTAGATATCTATGGGCCACAGCATCCACTTACCATCAGGTGAACTGTGTGCTCGTTTGTCACCTTTATTTTATTAAAAAATTGCTTTGTCACTCACATTTATTCTTTCTACGTGAATAAACCACGGAAGCATTCCTATTTTAATCCTGGTCACAACATTATTTTACAAAGTCTACTTTTCTCTTATCACACAATTTCTCATCCTCATTTAGAGTCTTTTCAAAATACTTCGAAATAACCTCATTTCTACAGCATTCATTTTACTCTTATGCTTCTGTCACACCTAACATGCTTAAATTAAATTAAATTGACGTAGGGGCTAAAACTGATTTTTTTTTTCAATGGTACATTTACACGAAAGGAATCGGCCATTGGTCCACATTAAAGTACAAAATTTAGTAGTACTTTCTTGCAATTATTTATGGTACATGGAAATGATTAAAATATTTTCTTGTAAGTATGTCTTTGTTAGTATATTTTTTTTTGGAAAATTTACTTTTTATTTTTAAATTTCAGCAATGATCTGTAAATATTGTTAAAATTAAATTAAAGTTTTATATTAACGTCTTAAAGCATTGTAAGCATAGATTAAATATAGGCAGAGTAGCACAAGGATATAAATAAGGTACATATAATATTTACGTATTTATTGTAAGAGCTGTGTAATTTTTTTTTGTGTATATTTTAGCGGTTAAAAGTGTAAATAGCACGTGCACGTGCAGTCTAGTCAAGTTTAAAATATCCCAGAAACGAACTAAAGGCCTCGGAAGAATGTAATAAACCTTAGAATAAAAACATTATTGGGAAAATCAAGTTTTAAAAAAATATTAAAGGTAATGTTACATAAGCTATGTTAAGGAAAGCGAGAGAGATTTTTATTGTTTGGATTAACTACTCTGAAATTTCTGCAGTTTCATCTCAAGGTATTCATTTTAACTCCAATTACTGAGTATTAACCGAATTGCATAAACATTCGAATAAAAATGTATATTAACACAAATAAATAATATTGAAGCAAATGAAAGTTATTAAGTAACTAGCGTTTCCCCGCGACTTCGCCCGCGTAGAATTTATCACGATTGATAGATGGATTTTATGGGTTTTAATTTTTTTGCCCGGAACCCTAATTCTTTTTCTAAAATAAAAGTAGCCTAAGTTACTTCTTATAACATCAGCTACCTGCCAGTGAAAGTCCCATCAAAATTTTTCAAGCCATTTCGGACCTTCAGACAGACAAAATAGTTAAAAACCATTTTTTGTTATAAGTAACGTATACACTTTCATACGCATTTAGTAAAAAGCTATTATTTTGAGACCATAAACAGACACTTCAAGTTTATTTATTTGTATAGTTATGTGAAATAAACAACTTTCTTAAGTGAAAGTAAGCTCATATATTGCTTCATTAAAATGCAAAAGGTCGGAAAAATGTCTTTTACAATAAATCTTCCCCTTTAACGATTTTAGATTTCTATTTAACTGTATAAGCCAATCGAGTCACGAATTTTGTGCACGAAACCAAAGGACGAAAATAATATTTATATACAAAATTCTGGTTTTAATTTTTCTCTACTTTAACGGCTTGACCGATTCTGATGAAGGGTAGGTACTTATGGGGCGAACTGGGTGGTTTTTATCTAAACTCCTATATATAAAGATCCGGTAGGTGGCGCTGTTAGATAAAGAAGCTAGAGCGGATCGTTAGTGTTTAAAATTATTGTTAAATTAATGAATTTAAATTCAAAATTTTGTTTTTATTTTTTGTAAAATATCAGTGCCATTTGCTTCTACTCCGTTCACATGTTACACCCTATTTCTCCCAGACTGTAAAAAAGGTCACTCAGTAAATATTGACAAAAAAGAGATAAAACTAAGCCTTTCGAAAGCTTTTCGTAAGTACTAAGAGTAGTTTTTGCTTATAGGTAATCTCATGTGTTGTTAATTGTTAAACATAATTAGTTGTACTTACTCGTAAACTAACGAAATAACATACCTATGTGAATAAGTTAAAATTGTGCTATAAACAGTAGTATATAATGTGTACATAAACAAAATTGTAGTTTGTAGTTATCAGTAATTCGCAAAGTACTATACGCTTTTAGAATCTATTTATGAATGTTCCTCGTCGTTATTATAATGGAGTATAATTAAATGTAGATTTTATAATAAGGAACGCTTCATACTGCCAGAATGTAATCAAATTTGCCAAAGGATGTAATTTATGAATAAATGGGATATCAAATAAAAAATGTTTCATTACTCAATCACATTTACGTGATGGAGCCATGTTGCAGATATATAATATGGGTGGACCTTCACCCATATTGGCTTGACCCGGGTAAGACCACGCTCTCACAGAATATTAGCGTGGAACGGTGGAATAATGCTACTGTGTTACGTATGGTGAGTGTAGAGAACCGGAGACACTTTTTACTGGTAACGAAGCATTCCATATTAGTCCTCAGGGGTGACAACGTGTCTACATTTTGATTCTGAATCGAAGATGGGTGTATGTGTCTATGGGCCACAGCATTCACTTACCATCAGGTACGCTGTGTGCTAGTCTGTCACCCTTATTTTAAAAAATATATCAATTTTTAACTGAATTTTATATTTTTATAAATGATGTATTTTAAATGTTTTTATTTGCATATCATTAAGTTAAAAACTAAAATTATGTGTGGTTTTTAAGATTGATATCGACTTTTGACAAAAAATTTAGTACGAAATGTATTGAATACATGAGAGAGAGAGAAAGGAGGAAAAAAGTCATTCAATTACGGAACAACATGCAGCAAAATGCGAGGTCTATGCTCGGGGTTTCTCTGCGTGATAAACTTAGAAATGAGGATATCCGCAGTAGAACCAGAATGATTGACAAAGCCCAATGGATTAGTAAGCTGAAGTGGCAATGGCCCGGCCATATAGGTTGAGGAACCTACAACCGATGGGGAAATAAGGTTCTCGAGTGGCAGCCTCGTACCGGTAGGTGAAGTGTAGGGCAACACCCCACTAGATGGAGTGACGATCTGGCAAAACATGCAGGAAGTCGATGAATGCAGGTGGCTCAGGATCGTGCTTTGTGGCATTACTTGGGGGAGGCCTATATTCCGCAGTGGACTTGTGAGGCTATAATGACGATGCAGGAAAATTGTAAAAAAAAAAATAGAAAAACAGGCCCAAAAAAGCAAATATTTTTAAAACGAATAACATTCTAGGTGATCATATTTTACCTAGGAGTCCGTCTGGAATAGAAAAAAAATAGGTATGTGTCCTCAGGAGTGACAACGCATTTACATTTTGATTCATAATCGAGGATAGATGTAGATGTCTATGGGCCACAGCAACCACTTACCATCAGGTAGAATGTGTGCCATCCTAATTCTATAAAAAAAATCTCGTTGACCGAATGTAAAAGTGTACACTTCAAAGGTCACTGGCTTTTGCGTCGCATGTTATATAATCCTAAACTCAGGCGGAGCCAATTTTAAAGAAAAATAACAACTAAGTAGACAGTTTTTATAACTGTATTCACATCAAAAACTAAACTCATTTGGAATTTCGACTACTATTTTTACTATTGGTACTATGTGGCAAAAACTATATTTAAGCAACTGATACTGAAAACATCGACTCATAATGTAGTTTGTCACTCCATATGGTTTCAACTTAATACTACTGCTTATGAAGCTAAAAACTAAGACAGAAAAAAACTATTTAAATCTTAAGTCTAAAGACCATGGTATGAATGAAACCCTACAAGAGTGAGGCCCGATTTGCACTTGGTCGAGTTTTTAT